TAGTCTTGCGATGGTTGTAAAGTAATTAAAAAAACGTACAATCTGCCCATCTTGGACAGGCAGATCATACTTACCCGCCTGAGGGGCGGGCTTCCGATGACCGCAATGCTGAACGGGCAGTGTGCGTCTGCGCACACCGGCCCGTTCGGCATTTGTCTCCCGAGCATCATTCAAACCAGCCGAAAATCGTAAGATTTTCGGCTGGTTTTCTAGCATGCTCCTTAGACAAAAGACGTGCGACTGTACAGTAGAAACGGTTGCACGTCTTCATTCACACTGCACGATTCTCGTACGATCGCGGGACTTCCCGCGATTCTCGTACGAGAATCGTGCAGTGTATGGGCACCTTTACAATATTTTGTAGTCATGCCATCAGCATCCTCGCTTCGAAAAAACTGAATGAAACCTAATGAACAGCAGTGCCTTTTTGGGCAAGACACTGGGGGGAATTTATCAAAACTGGAGCAGGCAAAATCTGGAGCAGTTGCGCATGACAACAGATCAGCTTTTCTCTTCAGTTTGTTCAGTCAAGATTTGAAAATGAAACAGAGAAGCTGATTGGTTGTTGTGCACAGCTGCTCTAGATTTTGTCTGCTCCAGTTTTGATAAATTCCTTCCAGAGTGTGGTCCAAATGTTTCTGGGTGGAGTTTAGTAAAACAAGTGTTATGACTTTTTTTTTTATTAGGACACTGGAATGTGCGTTGGTGTTTTTTTTTTTTACATCTGCCTCAATGAAATGTAAAGAGAGCATTCTACACTAATTTCATTAAAAAAAAGAAAAAAAACACTATAAAAAATCAGGGTTAAACCTCTTATGTCGACTTTTGTTGTGTACCTTAATCAAAAGCTAATGAGGGCGTAAGATGTAATGCGGTGTCAAAAACTCAGGCAAAAACATTGATCTGACATAACATGCCTGACATATCTTCAGGCGGAATCATACAGACATTGCATCAGCAGACGTGAGAAACTGCACCATAGATCTTTCCATAGCACTACTGCTATATTATTCATTCCCTCCAAAGCATCTATTTTAAAAACACGCTGGCAAACTGGAGTAACAATCATTTTAGGCCAGCCATACAAAAAAGTAAACAATTTGAGTGCGTAAAAGCTTTTTTTAAAAACTAAAATGAATAAGACTGTTATTTCATTTACACATCATTTTTTTCGTAATTGGAATATACAAAGGGGAGTTCTTTACCCCATTTACTTTCCCAGTTAATTACGCGCTCTTTTTTTCCCAAGAAACAATTGCTTAGGATTTTCTTTTTGGCACAAGGAAGCAGATTCAGTGAGCTTGAATAGTTATGTAACTACAGCTATATTTAATCTGTCATACGCAGTACATAAAATGATTTAGTAATTGCAGCCAAGCCAATTATAGTTGATTTTAATATGTTATTCATTTATGCTGTAAATCTATATGTATTTAACATGATTAACTCCTCTGAGAGGCCAGCAACGCCTCGCTTATCAATAAGCTACAGGACAGCAGAGATCACTTTAGACTTAGTACTTGTTGCTATGTTTAGTTAAGCAGTACAGAGGCGGTAATTACTGTCATAAGCTTTTATGCAGCGGCGCCTCCCCAAAACTGCCTTCATAGGCACTACATACATCTCCGGCAGTATTTCTGTTACTCTACACCACTGTTTTGGCAAAGGTTAGCTTAAGTGTTAAAAGTTTTATTCATATATCTATGTCATGGTAATTTGATCCCGGACAAAAATTGCATGTTTATCTTAAAGAAAAGGGTTGTGGGATTAACACAATATTTAACCCGATAACAAAAATAGTACAATTTATGAAATAGATTTAGAAATATTGACTTCTGTGAGAGTTTAATGTATATCGATTTACATTTTATTTCTTTTTTTGTTGGTTTACGTTGAAATTTTAATTGCAGTTTTTTGTGGCATACAAAAAAGCACATTTAAACCCAAAACAAAAATGTAATATATTGTAGCTTACCAGTCTTTAAATGTGGTGGCTGCATTATTTGTATTTTTTCCATTCTTTTTTTTCTTTTTAAACAGATAATTTTTCTTAGGTCTTCCATTGCTAGGATGATAACACTCTCTCACCCTACTGTATCAGGACGACAGAATCAGGATAGGACTACAGGACTCTGCCCCCTACTCTTTTTAATAAAATAAACAGAGTGACATGGTTCTGTAGTCCTCAGTCCTAGCTGGTAACAATGTAGCTGATAACAAGCAGAGAAACACAAAGTTGTCAGCTCACAAGATTTCTGGCAATATTTACAGGTATTTTTCTGCACTTATCAAAGAGATCTAACAAAACACGATCAACTGAATTGTAACAGACCAAAAGAGACCAAATTAGAGAAGCTCATTGTTGGGGTTTACATAAGAAACCCTACTGCTGTATAGAACCTTGGGCTTATGTCCACCATGGCATCGGTGCAGGGCTACATTCAGCAATGCTGAGATACTGTGATAATAGTGAGTTCTGACAAACTCCAAACTGTGTACGGAGAATGGCAAAGTAGTGCCCTGAAACAATGCAATCTCCCTCTTCCTAAAAACCGTTGAGATTAAAATCTTCTGCCTGTGGTTAAGCAGTCATGAAAACCGTCACATTTAACAAAAAGCTAAAGGTTTTTTTTCCCTCTACACGCAGAGGCATTCTAAACGTTAATTACAGCAGGTTCTTCAATGGCATCCTGATAATCTGTGTCACAAAATGTTACATTGTAAATGGTCTGGTGTGCAGTTTAGGAATACACAACTATGAAGCTGGGGTGTTTACCTATAGCTGAGCTCTTCAGCGTCAGCTTTCATACATATTCCATAATTTGTACTATAATGATGTTACCTTCCTAGCTCACATTTAAAAAAATTAAAAGGTGAATTAACGCACAACACCCACTCCCCTCCCACTGTCCACATTGCAATTATTTTTGGTCAAGACCATCTACTGCTGTCCACACCAGCCTGTGTAATGGGCTGCACACTTCAAAACTTTACTACGTAGCCCCAAAGGCTGTGTAACATCATAATGCTGAGAATGCTAATAAGTGGTCATTGGTCAGCATGGCCACATGACTACGCTGACAAATGAGAATCCCTTTTGAGCCTTCTTTTAGAAGAGCTGTCACATGGTAGTGCCCACCATGTGTATGTGAAGGATTAACTGCTCAGCTGACCTGTCCCAGTGAGGAAAATATCTGTGCAGGGTAAGGTTGAGCGTGTGTACATCACAGACTGATCTTAAGAAAAGAAAAAAAAAGTCCTATGACCAGATGTTAGCTGGTAGAAGAGAAGTAAAGAAAACTTTTTTTTTTTTTGCTTTATTTCTCTTTTGGCTTACAGGAGTACATTTACTAAAGTACTCCTGTTAAGTCAGCAGACAGCACGTTAATGCCTTCTATCTGCTGACAGAAGACAGATAGATTGTTCCTCTGGGAACAATCCCAATAATGTTGTCGGGATCCACCTTGGCTGCCTAAGTGTCAGCTGCCTCTTTAGAGCCTGAGCCAGCCATGCACGCACCCTTCCCTGTCTGTTGCTTCAATAAGAGATTGAGGAACAGAGAGGGGAGGGGGAATCCCAACAGGGACTGACAGTAACTGTTCTCTGAAGAAAGAAGAGACCATGAGCTGAGTGATCAGCAGTTACTTGATCATTCAGCTCTCAGTGTAGAGCCAGCGTTTGACAGCTGCATTGTCCCAAGCTGAGCAGCGTGAAGGGTATGTTTTACTCCTTTAAGGTAACATTACAGTCACAATCCCCCCCCCC